AATATGGTATCTGTGGTTTGCTTCACAATAATCCAGGGAGGAAGCAGAAAGTGGGCGCCCGTTTAGATAAACTAAGACTGGTCATGATTTGATGACTGTTTTAGCTGCATGATGGGTACATGGGGGTTCATTGTTGTATATTTAAAAGATTTTATGATGAAAAATTTTTTAAGTGAAAAAAAATCTAAGATGCTAGAACATTTAAAATGCAGGCATCTCCCTTGTACATTGCTGATGGGAGTATAAATTGGTATAACTTTTATGGAAGGAAATATGACAATATCTATTAAAATAAAAACGCACATATCTTTTGACTTAGAAAATCACTTCTAGAAATGCAACCTCTGTACTCACCATGTGTGATATAATACACAGACACACACACATTTATGTATGGATTCTCATTGCAGCCTTGTTTGAAAAAGTAAAAGATTAGTAACAACCAAAATGTCTTCCATAGGGCACTAGCTAAATGAGTCACGGTAAATCTACTGAATGGAATACAATGTAGTCATTTTTTAAAATGAGGATGGTCTTTATATACTGATCTGAAAGAATCTCCAAAGTGCAGTGCTGTGTGTATATTATGCTACATATGAAAAAGAATATATATAATCATGTATGCTTTTATATGCATAAAATATCTCTGAAGTATATAAAAAAGACATTTACCATCATTTAGGTCTCCAGGAAAGGGAACTAGGTTTACAGCGGAAAGGGATAGGAGCAAGACTTACATTTCAATGCTACCATTTTGTACCTTTTAAATTTTATTCCATGTGCATGCATGACCTATGTTAAAAAAATGATCTAAGTTTTAAAAGAAAACAAAATTATGACATTTAAAACTATAATTATAAAGACTATGTAGCAATATGGGAAAACGTTTGTAATATTATGTTTGGTTTAAAAGAGTGCACAAAATTTATCCACATAATAATTAAAAGTACATAAAATATGTGTGTTCATGATCAAGTACAGGAGACACAAATGAAAGGGATGTGTCGTTAGGTGGGAGTGGAAGTGCTGTTGTTTTTTTAAACTTTACAGGTATTATAATATGGTATGATAATATGGATGGTAGATTACAACTTGGTAAAAAGAAAAATCAGATTTAGATTGCAAAAATCTGATTTCCATGGGGTTTTCAAGCGAGAGGTTTTTCCCACAAAGCGAGGTGCACCTGGTCACGCTGCCTGTGCTGGTTCTGCTTGCTTTCCTGCCAGCCTCTCCAGAGGAACAAGATGCTGGACCAATCACTGCAGCTGGTCACGTCTTCATGCTGAGCACTTGTTCACCGGACCCTGGACAGTCTGTTTATTTACGGGGAAAAGACTGCACAAACAAGAAGAGGCTTTCTGCAGGCGGGAAAGCCAGGGTGTTAAATATCCTCCTTCATACGCTCAGCTTCCTTCCTTGAGGAAGGGCCCCAGTGGGAAACCGGAGGTGGGCTCTGTCCAGGCAGGAAGGAGAGTCAGGAATTGGCAGCAGTGGCCTGACCCGATTCCACAGGCCCAGCCTCAGCCAAACTCTGGGCTTCTGCTCTGCATCCTCCTCGGCTCTGCCGACCCACGGTCCACCTGTTCTTGGAGGCCTGTCTCCTCCAGGATGCCTGCCATGCTCACCCTTCAGAGGCAACTGTGGGAAGACCCAGACTGGGAGCCAGGGACTGACTCTGCCCCTTACTAACTGCATGACCTCATACAAGTCAGTTAGCCTCCCCAGCCTCTGTTTTCTCATCCATAAAATAACCCTACCTATCTTTCCGCGCTGCTGGGGGAGTGAATGAGATCGTCATCGTCATGTTGTCTCATTCTGGGCCCCTCACTACTTCCCTGTCTACTGCTTCTCAGTCTCCTTGGCCTGCTCCTCCTCAGCCTGTGCGTCACATTTAACAATTCTTTGCCCTCCTCTCTCCTTGGGCTCCCAGACCTAAATCATCACTCACCACACCCATGCTCCAGATCCATACACCCAGCCACCTCTTGGCCCTCTCCACTTGCATCTCCCACAAGTGCCTCAAACCTGATTTATCTAAAACTGAACGCATTATCTTCCTCTCCAAACTTGGTCCTCATCCAGTGTTCTCTATCCCAGCAGTACCTCTAGCATCCACTCAGTTGCTCAAGCCAGAAACCTGGGGACTTTCCTGGACTCTACTCCAACATCCATGGCCAACAGCAGCAGCAGCCACCTTCCACCATGTGGCCTGGGAAAGAGAGAAAGCAGGACCGAAGCAAGATAGAATGAAGCAAACACAAGAAGCCTGGAAGAGAATAGGAGAGAAAAGACTAAGTTCCTAAAGGGCTACATGCTCTGGTTCTGTTCTTGAGCCCAGAGGCAGTCCCGCCCTTGGCTTTTATGAGACCTCAGGACTTCTGCCAATAACGCCCCCGTTGTCTCTCTTTTTAATTTTTTTGCTTGAGTTGAGTTTCTACACTTGCAAATACACTGTACAAGAGTCCTAATTAATATAAACATATCGTATCATTCAGAATAGGCTAAGTTATGCTGTGGAAATGAACAACCCCCACATTTCGGTGGCTTAACTCTACCACACGCTCTGCAGCAGCAGGGGGCTCCGCTCATTGCAGTCCCTTGGGAAGCAGCCACCATCTTGAATGTTGTTGGTCACTGTGCCAGCGGGAAAGAGAAACCCTAAGGGGTTTGACACGAGCAGTTCAATGCTCCAGCTCAGAAGTGGCATGTCACCTTCGTTCGTAACTCATTGACCAGAACAAATTACCTGGCTCCACCCAATCACAAGGGGGCCGTGAAGTACAATCCTGCCACGTGCCTGAAATATTTGGTGAACGGTGTTAATAACTACCATACATTTCCTGCTGCCTATTCTGTGCCAATCCCTGAGCCTAATGAAACTGAGGCTCAGGAAGGTCTGGCAACTCAGCCACTACACCAGGCAGAATGATTCTCAGTGATCCAGATGGATGGGACAGGCTGCTGAATGAGAGAATGCACTTAAGACGGCTAACACAGTACCTGGTACTAAAAATAAATGCCGAGTAAATGTTTCTTTCCTAGTCCCTGGAGGCATTCAAGAACAGGCTGTATGGTCACTTATCTGGGTTGCTAGCCAAGTACCAGATGGGTAGCAACACTGTGTACAGCCTTCCAACCATGAGAATCTAACTCTCCTTTTCCTGGAATAATTATTTCCCTTCTTGGCAGTAATACTGCAAGGTAATTATCAACTACTCTCTAGCCCCCACATTCCCACAACAGCACTGTTGGCTCCATGGGTGGGAAACAAAGGCCTAGAAAGGATATGGGTAAATTATGGGTGGAAAAAGCACCAATCAACTAATATTAACTAAGTGTCCATGACATATAAGGCATAATGTCCTGAGCTCCAAGTCAGTGTGCACAGCAGGAAAAGAGCATGAGAAAAGGGCTTATACCTGGGACCTAGTCCTGGCTTTGTTGTAATTTACTGTGTGGCCTTGAGTTTCTTCCAAAGTCTTCGTTTCATCTCTGTACAATGAGGAGAAGGGAATATGCCTCTAAAGTCTCTTTCAGCTTGGATAACGGATATAAATTACATGCAGAGTCAAAAATCAAACCTCAGATATGGGAGGACTCACCTTTCTTCCTAGAAGCCAGTGAGGCCACAGAACCCTGGGAGCTCAAAAAGGACTTTAGGTATGATATTATCTAAAGCTGCACTTTCCAGTATGGTAGCCACTAGCCACATGTGGCTATTTGAAGTGCGGCTAGTCCAAAGTGAGGTATGCTGTAAAATACACACTGAATATCTGGATTTAGTATGAAAAAAGGAATGTAAAATATTTTTATATTGACAATATTTTGTGTCAATTGGGTTAATTACAATGTTACTAAAACTAACGTCATCTGTTTCTTTTTACTTTTTTAATGTGGCTACTTCAAAATGTAAAATTACAATGTGGCTCACATTATATTTCTATTGGATGGTGCTTGTATAAAGGGAAACTGAGCCCGAGAGAGGGTAAATGACTTGCCCACAGAGCCAGGACTGGATCCAGGGTCACCTGGCATCTCATTCAAGGCTCTTTCTACTGTAACTGCCTGCAGTAGCCAGTCTCCAAGATGGCCTCTGATGATCCTCACCTCCTATCACCTTGTGTAGTCCCTTCCACACCGAGTAGGATTCACCTATTAGAAGACTGCAGAAATGACTGTGTCATGTCCCAGACTGGGTCTTAAAACACACTGTGGCTTCTACCTTGTCCCTTTCTGGCATCACTTGCTCTGGCGGAAGCCAGTTGCCAGGTCATGAAAACATTCAAGCAGCCTTATGGAGTGGCCCACATGGTGAGGAACTAAGGCCTTCCGTCAACAACCAGCACCAACCAAGCATGTGAGTGAACCATCCTGGAAGCTGATCCTCCAGCTCCAGTCAAGCCTTCAGATGACAGGTGCCCCAGCTGACTGCACCTCATGAGAGACCCTGACCCAGAACTAAGCTTCTACCAAATTCCTGACCCAAATAATATATGAGATAATAAATGTTTATTGTTTTAAGTTATTAAGTTTTAGGGTGATTTGTTACACAGCAAGATAATTAATACACAGCCTTATAAACTTACAGATCTCATATAAGAAACACTTACTTCTATCTTTGGCATTTGTACAGTGTGAGAAATTATTCTTGTCTTTCCCCTAGCCTCTGGCCTAGCTCAGGTTACCTAACTAAAAATGGCTATCAGGCTTGGAGAACCCAACCCAGGAAGACAGGATCCCATTTTATTCTTCAAAAAGGCCTTTCCCTTTTCCTTTTTTTGCAGAAAGTACCCACATTTCTTGAGAAGGAAAAAGCACAACACATCACCTTCACTTGGGCCATCCAGAGATGTGAGTCCTACAACATCAAAGGAACTAGAGCCCAGAATTGCCTAATTAAATACAGTATTGAAGAAGTGATAAATATGTGATAAATGACACTCTATAATATCTGAATTTCTCTAAGCTGAGAAAATGGTGTCAACATTAGTGCTAATGCCTTACATTTATTTATAGAGCATGTGTTGCTTTTCGTAATGTTTTCACATCTACTATATCTGAGGTGGGGAAGATATAAATAAATCAGGATACATATGGAAACAATGGCTGAGAGCTCATGATTTGCTCATAGTCGCATGAGTGAATGATAGGGCCAGGTCTAGAATCTGGGTTTCAGTGACTCCAAGGCAGGACCCCTCAGCTGTGATAACATGAACGTCCTTCAGTTGGGGCTGTCCTCTCAGATCAGCGTGCACTTGTAGGTCTCCTTAAAGGCCTCAAAGAAAAGTGGTATTACTTCATCCACAGTGACGTGCCTCTGGAGCTCCTGACTCAAGGAAGTAACGCCTGTCCCAACCAGCCCGCAGGGCACAATGTGCTCAAACCACGTGAGGTCCGTAGAACAGTTCAGAGCCAGGCCGTGGGACGTGATGTGCCTTCCACAGCGGACTCCTGCAAGACAAGCCAGAGGGTCTTAGAATACATACCCTCCCTCCTCTGGATTCACGACCCCCTCAATGTGATGAAAGAACTGGACTAGATCACTGGTTTTCCAACTTTGTTTCTGGAGCACCCAAGGAGTTGTGCACAGATCGGGGAAGGGGGACAAAATTGGGAGGGATCTGTGGCTCCACAGCAGCTGCACTTATTATGGAGATTCCAGAAAATGTCCTTAACATAGAGATTCTGTTGCTTTAAAAAAAAAAAAAGTCTGAAAACTACCAAGCGCCGTTATTGTCCTGATATTGTGATTCATGGCAAATAACCTGACAATTCACTTCTCGTAAAGAAGAGTGTTGGATGAGATGATCACTGAGGGCCCTTCTGAGGGCTCTGAATGTAAGATGTCAGTTAAGAGGCTTAAAAACGCCCACGCAGCGGGTAGCTCTGATTCAAAGCCGGCGCCAAACACGCCTCCTCCCAGCCCGACCTTGCCCTCACCTCTATTGGTCCGGCCCCGCCTGGCCCCGCCCCCAGCCCCCGCCCCGCCCCGCGGCGCTCACCGATCGCGCAGACCTTGCGCTCTCCCAGCCAGACGCCGGTGTAGGGTGGGGGCCGCGCGCAGGCGCCCGGCAGGCCCTGGAGCTCGCACAGGCGCACAGCGCACGCTTCCAGCGCCGCCACGTGGGTGCGCAAGCGCAGGCCGAGGCGTCGCAGGTCGAGCACCGGGTGGCAGAGGAGCTGGCCCGGGCCGTGGAAGGTGGCCAGGCCGCCGCGGCCTGTGGCGCGCACCTCGGCACCCAAGGCCCGCAGCCGCGCCGCCTCCTCGGGCGTCAGGCCGCCGCGCAGCCCGGCTGTGTACACGGGCCCCGCGGGCTCGCAGAGCAGGAGGGCGCCCGCCTCAGTCCCCGACAAGGCCTCCGTGCCTGGCTCGGCCTGCAGCCGCCGCAACCAGCGCTCCTGCAGCGCCAGCAGCTCGGCGTACGGCACCCGACTCAGCCGCACCAGCCGAACCGCCGGTTGCCGCATCGCGCCGCGGCGTCCGCGGGCTCCGCCCCCTGCTTGGGCCCGGGGGCGTGCCAGGAGGGGCGGGGACTCGGGGGCACGTCGTAAGTGCTTGTTACAGGCTCTTGAGAGACTGTGATCCCAAGACCCAGTACAAGGTGTGACTGTTACATTCATTCATTTCAACAACCAGTATTTAGGGCCTGCTTGTGTCTGCAGGCCCTGTCCTAGGCGCTTGATACAGTGGTGTACAGTGTATGGGGGGGAAAAAAAAAGATCCTGGGAAGCTTAGAGCAGACAATAAGCAAGTGTTAAAGCACTAAGTAAATAAGGTCATTTCACGTATTGATAACTGCCATGAAAAGAAAAACAAAATAGGTTAATGTGTGTCCTGGATGGAGTTCCCCGAGGAAGAGACTTTAAGAAGGAGATGAACTTGCAGGAGGTTTATGGGGGAGAGGAAGAGGTGCTTTCAAGACCATGCTTGTAAGAGAGTGATGGAAGCAGGATCAGGCAGAGGGAGAAGTTGAAATGTGAAACGATCTCAGCAGAGGCCTCAGACAATTCCAAAGAATGTTCTGAGCCTGGGATGACGTTTTGTAGTTGTTCCCAATTAAAGAAGGGAAATTTATATCCTTGCCTTGACCAGTGATAGATAGAGGCTATATCTGGAGAGGCGCTGTAACTTTTGACAAGGCTGCTTCCTTCTGTGGAGGGCAATTCCCAGAGAGGGAATTATGAGCTGTGAGCAACCTACTCCCAGAAGCTGGGGGAATGACTGGCTAGGTCCTGAGGGTGGATCCGGACCACAGCATCCATTGTATTGTATTGGAGTGTCATTTAAACAAATCTGAATTCATTAAGTCAAGTGTTACTGAGTACCAACTATGTGTTAGGCCCATTGCTGGGCAAAGAGAATACACAAGGCTATACTGCCCTGTATTCCTAATAGCATACAGAATCCAGTTTTTATGTCTTCAGTCTATCCTCTGAATCTGTTTTCCAAGCTGCAGCCAAGGATTGTTCAATTGAAAAGAACGAAAAGAAGAAAGCAGAAAAGTTTAGAGAATAATGTAACAAATTACTGTTTACCCACCATCCAGCCTTGTCAAATTTTAATATTTTACTGTTTTTGCTCGGGTCTTTTTTAATTTTAGAAACTAACAAGATCGATCACTCCTATAGGTATCTGAAAGACATTTCATAAATATAGACATAAAAATCCTAAGCAAATATTAGCAAATTGAGTCTAGGAATGTATAAAAGGATTAATACATCATGGTGAAGTAATGTTTATCTCAGAAATGCAAGGTTGGTTTAACATTCTAAAATCAAACAGTATAGTTTACCATAAAGGAGAAAAACTATATGATTATTTTCAATAGATGCAGAGAAAGCAGTTGGCAAAAATCAACAACTACTCTGACTAAAACTCGCAGCAAACTAGGAAGAGAAAATTCACCAATCTGATGAAGGGTATTGCATCAGTCAGGGTTCAGACAATAGAGAAACCACACAGGTAATATTTTAATTAAATTTTTTATTTTGAGAAAATTTAGACTCACATGCAGTTGTAAGGAATATGTACCCTTTACCCAGTTTCCCCCAATGGTAATGTCTTGTCAATGTCACAATGAGGTTGTTGACCTTGATACAGTAAAGATACAGAACATTTCTATCATCACAAAGATCCCTCATGTTGCTCTTTAATACCTACACCACTAATTGACTCCTGGCAAGTACTAATCTGTGTTATATAAATGGAATCATACAGTATGTAAACTTTTGGAATTGGCTTTTCTTTCACTCAGCATAGTTTTCTGGAGACTCATCCAGGTTGCTGCATGTATCAATGGTTTATTGCTTTTTATCGATGAGTGGTATTCCATAGTATAGATGTACCACATTTTGTTTATTCGCCCATTGAGGAATAACTAGTTTATTTCCAGTTTTCAGATATTCTGAATAAAGCTGCTACCAACATTCATGTATAGGTTTTTTGTGTGAACGTTAAGTTTTCATTTCCCTGGAGTAAATGTCCAGGAGTGCAATTGCTGGGTCATATGGTATCTTCATGTTTTGTTTTTCAAGAAACTGCCAAACTGCTCTCCAGAGTGGCTATACCGTTTTGCATTCCCATCAGCAAGATATATATGAGCGATCCAGTTTCTCTGCATCCTCGCTAGCATTTGGCATTGTCACTATTTTTTGCTTTAGACATTCTGATAGGTGTATAGTGGTATTTCATTGTGATGTTAATTTGTATTTCCCTAATGGCTAATAATGTTGAATATCTTTTCATGTGCTTATTTTCCATCTCTATATTCTCTTCAGTGAAATGTCTGTTCATGTCTTTTGCCTGTTTTCTAATGATTGTTCTTTTTTACTGTTGAGTTTTCAGAGTTCTTTATATTTTCTAAATACTAGTCCTTTGTCAGATATGTGGTTTGTAAATAGTTTCTCCCACTCTATGGCTTATATTTTCATCCTCTTAACAGGGTCTTTTGCAGAGCAAATGTTTGTAATTGTGATCAAGTCCAATTTATCCACTTTTCCTTTTATGGATTGTGCTTTTGGTCTAAGAAGTCTTTGCCTAGCCCTAGATCCTGAAGACTTTCTCCTGTGTTTTTCCCTAAGTTTTGACACTTTGGTCATGTTTTGTTTTGTTTTGCCTATGGATGTCCCATTGCTTCAGCACCATTTGTTCAAAGGCTATGTTTCCTCCATGTAATTGCTTTTACACCTTTGTCAAACAGCACTTGGGCATATTTGTGTGGGCCAATTTCAGGGTTCTCATCCATTGATCTATGTCACTTCCCTCCACTAATACCACCTATTCTTGATTGCTGTAACTAATAAGTCTTAAAATCAGGTAGTCTGATTCCTCCCACTTTATTCTTATTTTTTCAAAATTGTTTTAGTTACTCTAAATTGTTTTAGTTGTTTGCCGTCCCATATAAATTTTAGAATAATCTTGTCTATATCTAAGAAAAACTCTTGATAGGATTTTCATAGGAATTACCTTAAACCTGTCTATCAATTTGGAGAGAATTGACATATTTGCTACATTGGGTCTTCCAGTCCATGAATATGGTATGTCTCATCATTTACTTAGATCTTCTTTGGCTTCTTTCATCAGCATTTTGTAGTTTTCAGCACACAAATCTATACATGTTTTGTTAGATTTATATCTAAGTGTCTCTCTCTTTTTTGAGTGATTCTAAATGGTATTTTAAATTTCTGTGTCCATGTGTTCATTGTGAATATACAGAGGTGCAACTGATTTTTGTATGTTTATCTTGCATCCTGCAAGATACCTTGCTGAACTCGCTTATTAGTCCTAGGAGTATTTTATAGACTCCTGAGGATTTTCTGTGTAGAGTCTTGTCATCTGCAAATAGAAACAGCTCTGTTTTCTTCCTTTCTGTTGTTTAATTTAATTTAATTTAATTCTCTTGTTTTGCCTTATTGCACTGAATAGAACTTCCAGTACAATGTTGAATAAGAGTAGTAAGAGCAAACATCCTTGCCTTTTTCCAATCTTAGGGGGAAAGCATTCAGTCTTTCACTGTTAAGTAGACTCTTAGTTGTAGGTTTTTTGTAGATAATCTTTATCAAGTTGCGGAAGTTTCCCTCTATTCCTGGTTTCCTGTGAGTTTTTATCATGAAGGGTGTTGAATCTTGTCCAAAGGCTTATTTTGCAGTGATTGATATGGTCATATGATTTTTCTTCTTTAGCCTCTTAATGTGGTAGATTACATTGATTGATTTTTGAATGTTGACTAGCCTTGCATAGCTGGAATAAATCCCACTTGGTTATGGCGTATAATTCTTTTTATACATTGTTGTATTTGGTTTGCTAATATTTTGTTGAGGATTTTTGCATCTGAATTTATAAGAGATATTGGTCTACAGTTTTCTTTTTTGTGCTTCTTTGGTTTTGATATAGGGTAATATACTAGCTTCATAAAATGAAGTGGGAAGTGTTTGTCCTCTTCTATTTTCTGGGAGAGATTGTGTAGATTGTCTTCATTCTTCTTTAAACATTTGATAGAATTCTCTGTGAAACCATCTGGGCCTGGAGATTTCTTTTCTGGGAGTTTTAAAACTACAAATTCAATTTTCTTAATAGTTATAGGGCCATTTAAATTATCTATTTCATATTGGGTGAGTTGTAGTAGTTTGTGTTTTTCAAGGAATTGGTCCATTTCATCTAAGTTGTCAAATTTATGTGTGTAGAGTTGTTTGTAGTATTCACTTATTATCTTTTCAGTGTTTATGTGGTCTGTAGTGAAGTCCTTTGTGTCATTCTTGATGTTGGTAATTTGTATCTTTTCTCTCTCTCTCTCTCTCTCTTTTGTTTGTCAGTCTTGCTAGAGGTTGTCAATTTTATTAATTTTTTCAAAGAATCAGCTCTGTTTCTGTTGTTTTTATATTTTCAATTAGATTGATTTGTGCTCTTATCTTTATTATTTTCTTCCTTCTGCTTGCTTTGCGTTTATTTTGTTCTTCTTTTCCTATGTTTTCAAGGTGGTAGCTTAGATAATTGATTTGAGATTTTTCCTCTTTTCTATTGTGTAGATTTAGTGCTATAAATTTTTCCCTCTCAGACTTTAGCTATATCCCACAAAGTTTGATATGTTCTATGTTCATTTTCATTCAGTTCAATGTATTTGTTTTATTTCTCTTGAGACTTCCTCTTTGACCCGTGGATATTTTAAAGTATGTTGTGTTCCTGTTATCTTTCTGTTACTGATTTCTAGTTTGATTCCATTGTGGGCAAAGAACACACTCTGTATGATTCAATTCTTTTAAATTTGTTTTTTTTTTTAATGGCCCAGCATGTGGTCTATCTTGGTATATGTTCTGTGGGCACTTTAAAAGAATGTGTATTCTGCTGTTGTTGGATGCAATGTTCTATAAATGTTAATTAGAATCTGTTGGTCAGGGGCCGGCCTGGTGGCTTGCTGGTTAAGTGCGCGCGCTCCACTGCTGGCGGCCTGGGTTCGCATCCCGGGCGCGCACCGACGCACCACTTCTC